AATAAAATATAAAATGAAATAAAATAAAAAATATAAAATAAAATAAAATATAAAATAAAATAAAATGAAATATAAAATAAAATAAAATGAAATATAAAATAAAATAAAATAAATAAAATATAAAATAAAGAAATAAAATAAAAAAATAAAATAAATAAAATATAAAATAAAATAAAATAAAATGAAAATAAAAATAAAAAAACAAAATAAAAAATAAAATAAAATATAAAATGAAATAAAAAATAAAAATAAAATAAAATAAAAAATAAAATAAAATAAAAAATAAAAATAAAAATAAAATAAAAAATAAAATAAAATAAAATGAAAAATAAAATAAAAAATAAAATAAAATAAAATAAAAACATAAAATAAAATAAAATAAAAGACAACGTCTGCTTCAGCCGGAGGTCTCAGACTCCAGCCGGCCGCGGGTTCGAATCCCGGGCGGGCCCGTCTTAGGCGCTGTGTGGCTCTGGGCGAGCGTATTGACCTCTCTGAGTCCCCAGAGATCGGGTTTAAGCGAGATAAGCCCGGGAAGTCGAGGCTGGCTTGGAGGCAGGGCGGTGACTCGGTTTCCCCCCGGGGGTTGGGGTGGGGAAAAGGGAGGCCCAGAAGGGAGGCCGGGGGACTCACCTCTCTGCGGGGCTGTCGGGCTCGAGGAAGGAGACCAGGGGCGGCGAGCAGAGGGCCTCGGTGGCGAAGACGCCGCCCTGGAGGTGGAGGCCGAAGCCTCCGGGCGGGCCTCCACCCAGCACGACCTCTGTGGTTTCGGGGCGCACCAACTGCCCCAGCGACCTCGGGGTCAAGGACACTGTGGGACGGGGGTCACGGCCGTCAGGAGTTTGTCTGGGGGGGGGACAGAGTCTCGCCCTGTCGCCAGGGCCTCGATTAATCACGGCAGCCTCCAGCTTCGAGGCTCAGCCTCCCACCTCGGCCTCCCTCCCGAGGAGCTGGGACTCCAGGCATGCGCCTCCACGCCCGGCTCGTTTTTTCTATATATTTTTAGTTGTCCAGCTCATTTCTTTCTATTTTTTGAGTAGTCTTGCTCAGGCTGGCCTCCAACTCCTGGCCTCCAGCGATCCTCCTGCCTCAGCCTCCCTTCCGAGTAGCTGGGACTCCAGGCATGCGCCTCCACGCCCGGCTCGTTTTTTCTATATATATTTTCAGCTGGCCAATTAATTTCTTTCTATTTTTTTTTTTAGTAGAGACGGGGCCTCGCTCTTGCTCAGGCTGGCCTCCAACTCCCGGCCTCGAGCGATCCTCCCGCCTCGGCCTCCCCCAGTGTTAAGGATGACAGTTTTTCTATATATTTTTAACTGAGCGATTAATTTATTTCTATTTTTTTAGTAGAGACGGGGGGGGGTCTCGCTTTTGGGCTCAGGCTGGCCTCGAACTCCCGACCTCGAGCGAGCCTCCCGCCTCGGCCTCCCTCCCGAGTAGCTGGGATTACAGGCGTGAGCCTCCACGCCGGGCTCATTTTTTTTTTTTTAATATATATATTTTTAGTTGGGCAACTAATTTTCTTTCTATTTTTTGAGTAGTCTCGCTCAGGCTGGCCTCGAAGTCCTGGCCTCCACAGCGAGCCTCCTGCCTTGGCCTCCTCCCAGAGAGCTGGGACGACAGGCGTGAGCCTCCGCGCCCGGCCGATAATTATTTTCTGTTTTCTATTATGACGTACATTTGTGTGACTGACGAAAACATTGGGGGTCGTTTTTTTATTTATGGGACATTGATTTGAGTATTTCGATCTGTCGCTAATTATGTGGTTGTGTCTTGACGTGTTATTATACGGGTAAGGTATTATGTTGTTAGGCAATATTAATTAAATATAAATATTAAATTAATATTAATATTAATTAATTATTTTTATTATATATTATTTTATATAATTATTATATAATATATAATATATAATTGTTTTATATTATATATTAATATTAATTAATATTAATATTATATTAATTAAATTAAATTAATTAAATATAAATATTAAAAATTAAATATAAATATTATAATTTATATTTAAATTTGACATATTAAGCCAGTATTGTTTAAATGATATTATATAGACCCGTGAATTATATGTCGATTAGTTACAATTAACATCATGATGCTTATGTGGCTTATATAAATGTGAAATGACATTGTGTAAATTTGACACACTTATATCTGAACTTAATTAGGCTTGAATACGTTGGGCTTAGTAGTATGTTATTTATTTAAGTAAGTAACGAAAATGCACTTATTTATAATAAGTAGGTAAATAATGACAAACGATTATTCATACATCTCCATCAGAGCTCTTGGGTGAAAAAAAAAATTAAAAAAAAAAAGATTATTCAGTGTGTAATTGTATGGTGTATAATAAATAAATGATCATTAATCGTTATAAATATCAATTAATCATTATAAGATTAAATAGATGATGTGTTATTCACTTGAGCAAATAGTGTGTTTATTTGTTAAAAGTAAAATAACAGGTGCACAGAAACACCAAGAAGTACCTCCGTAAAAAGGAAGTAAAAAATTATAAAGCGTAAAAGATTTATAAAACGTGTATATTTTTTTAAAGTAACTGTTTTATCATTTATTCTGTAAAATATTTCATTTTATTTATTTTCAGCAAATGAATTCGTTTATTTTCAATATGTAATATTCTATGTATTTGATATATTTAAATATTTTATTTGCCTAAATAAAGTATTTTAATATACTTAAATACGTTAAATTTAAATGCGAATATGTTTGAATATGTTAAATTCGAATTCAAATGCGTTAGATTTAAATATATTTAAATATATCGAATGTATTGAGTTTGCATATAAATATGCACCGGATTTAAATATATTTAAATACACTGAATGTATTGAATTTGAATATAATTATGCATAGGATTTAAATATATTTAAATACATTGAATGTATTGAATCTGAATATAATTATGCACCTGATTTAAATATATTTACATATATTGAATGTACTGAATTTGAATATAAATATGCACCTGATTTAAATATATTTACATATATTGAATGTATTGAGTTTGCATATAAATACGCGTCGGATTTAAATATATTTAAATACACTGAATGTATTGAATTTGAATATAATTATGCGTAGGATTTAAATATATTTAAATACACTGAATGTATTGAATTTGAAGATAAATATGCATCGGATTTAAATATATTTAACTACACCAAATGTATTGAATTTGAATATAAATATGCACCTGATTTAAATATATTTACATATATCGAATGTATTGAATTTGAAGATAAATATGCATCGGATTTAAATATATTTAAATACCCTGAATGTATTGAATTTGAATATAAATATGCACCTGATTTAAATATATTTAAATACCCTGAATGTACTGAATTTGAAGATAAATATGCACCGGATTTAAATATATTCAAATATACCGAATATATTAGATTTCAATCTATTCAAATGGATTTTTCTTGACTGTTAACATCCCAGCGATGAACGCGGGGTCTGACGCACGAAAGGTCAAAAACGTTGACTCGATTAACGGTATTGATTACCAATCGATAACGGTATTGATTGCTCTTTATCGGTCGCCCACGGCAGCAAGGACAGAGGCGACGGGGTGGGGTCCCCGGGGGCCTCCAGCCTCCACCTCCTGCCTCCGTCTTCTCACCTGCGAGTCCCCACCCACGGGAAGCTCAAAACCATATGTGGAGGCCGGGCGCGGAGGCCCACGCCTGTCGTCCCAGCTACTCGCGGGAGGGAGGCCGAGGCTGGAGGCTCGTTGTCGAGGCCGGGAGTCGGAGGCTGCCGTGAGCGAGGCTGACGCCACGGGACACTCACTCCAGCCCGGCCTCGATAGAAGCACAAAGGTAAGAAACGCACACGCAAGTGGAGGCCGGGCCTCACCCGAGCTCCTGTGTTCCGTCCTCCGCGGCCTCCTCCGCCCGGTGGAGGCCCGGGGACAGTCGAGGCTCACGGTGGGCGAGGAGAAGGGCGTCGAGGACCAGGCTGGCGGGGCGGGGAGGTGAGGGGGAGAGAGAGGGAGGCACAAAACCCGGGAGGCCCGTGAGTCGCTCGCTGTGTGACCTCAGGCAGAGCGTCTCGCCCTCTCTGGGCCCCGGGATCCCAGCTGTGAGCAGCACGGGGCCCGGAAAACTATCCCCTCCTCCCTCGTTATAGCGTTTAGACCTCTGTTAATGCGACCAGTTGCGAAACTGCTTTGAGGGGCGTCTATTTTCCAGCATGCAAGATAATCCCCTCCCTCGTTATAGCATTTAGACCACTATTAATGTGACCCAGTCGCGAAACCGGCTTTGGGGGCGTCTATTTTCCAGCATGTGAGATGATCCCCTCCTTCATTTTAGCGTTTAGACCTCTATTAATGCGACCCAGTCGTGAAACCGGCTTTGGGGGCGTCTATTTTCCAGCATGCAAGAAGATCCCCTCCCTCATTGTAGCGTTTAAACCTCTATTAATGCGACCCAGTTGCGAAACCGGCTTCGGGGGCGTCTATTTTCCAGCATGCGAGAAGATCCCCTCCCTTGTTATAGCATTTAGACCACTATTAATGCGACCCAGTTGCGAAACCGGCTTTGGGGGCGTCTATTTTCCAGCATGCAGGATGATCCCCTCCCTCATTATAGCGTTTAGACCTCTATTAATGCGACCGGTAGCGAAACCGGCTTTGGGGGTGTCTATTTTCCAGCATGCGAGAAGATCCCCTCCTTCATTTTGGCGTTTAGACCTCTAATAATGCGACCCAGTTGCGAAACCGGCTTTGGTGGGCCTCTATTTTCCAGCATGCGAGATGATCCCCTCCTTCATTTTAGCGTTTAGACCTCTATTAATGCGACCCAGTTGCGAAACCGGCTTCGGGGGCGTCTATTTTCCAGCATGCAAGATGATCCCCTCCCTCATTATAGCGTTTAGACCTCTATCAATGTGACCGGTAGTGAAACCGGCTTTGGGGAGCATCTATTTTCCAGCATGCGAGAAGATCCCCTCCTTCATTTTGGCGTTTAGACCTCTATTAATGCGACCCAGTCGCGAAACCGGCTTTGGGGAGCGTCTATTTTCCAGCATGCGAGATGATCCCCTCCTTCCTTATAGAGTTTAGACCTCTATTAATGTGACCGGTTGCGAAACTGGCTTCAGGGGTGTCTATTTTCCAGCATGCGAGATGATCCCCTCCCTCATTTTAGCGTTTAGGCCTCTATTAATGCGACCCAGTCGCGAAACCGGCTTCGGGGGCGTCTATTTTCCAGCATGCGAGATGATCCCCTCCCTCATTTTAGCGTTTAGACCTCTATTAATGCGACCGGGAGCGAAACCGGCTTTGGGGAGCGTCTATTTTCCAGCATGCGAGATGATCCCCTCCTTTGTTATAACGTTTAGACCTCTACTAATGTGACCGGTCACGAAACCAGCTTTGGGGGCGTCTATTTTCCAGCATGCGGGATGATCCCCTCCTTCATAATAGAGTTTAGACCTCTATTAATGTGACCGGTTGCGAGACTAGCTTTGGGGGCGTCTATTTTCCCGCATGAGAGATGATCCCCTCCCTCATTTTAGCGTTTAGACCTCTATTAATGCGACCGGTAGCGAAACCGGCTTGGGGGAGCATCTATTTTCCAGCGTGCGAGATGATCCCCTCCTTCGATAGAATGTTTACACCTCTGTTAATACGACGGGTCACGAAACCAGCTTTGCCAGGCCTCTATTTTCCAGCATGCGAGATGATCCCCTCCCTCGTTATAGTGTTTAGACCTCTATTAATGCGACCCAGTCACGAAACCGGCTTTGGGGACATGTATTTTCCAGCATCCGAGATGATCCCCTCCTTAATTTTAGCGTTTAGACCTCTATTAATGCGACCCAGTCGCGAAACCGGCTTTGGGGGCGTCTATTTTCCAGCGTGCGAGAAGATCCCCTCCCTTGTTATAGCATTTACACCACTATTAATGCAACCCGGTCGTGAAACCGGCTTTGGGGGCATCTATTTTCCAGCGTGCGAGATGATCCCCTCCTTCGTTAGAATGTTTAGACCTCTGTTAATACGACCGGTCACGAAACCGGCTTTGCCAGGCCTCTATTTTCCAGCATGCGAGAAGATCCCCTCCCTCGTTATAGCATTTAGACCACTATTAATGCGACCAGTTGTGAAACTGCTTTGAGGGGCGTCTATTTTCCAGCATGCGAGATGATCCCCTCCTTCATTATAGCGTTTACACCTCTATTAATGCAACCCAGTTGCGAAACCGGCTTCGGGGACATGTATTTTTCAGCGTGTGAGATGATCCCCTCCTTCCTTATAGAGTTTAGACCTCTATTAATGTGACCGGTCGCGAAACCGGCTTTGGTGGGCCTCTATTTTCCAGCATGCGAGATGGTCCCCTCCTTCATTGTAGCGTTTAGACCTCTATTAATGCGACCGGTCGCGAAACCGGCTTTGGGGAGCGTCTATTTTCCAGAATGCGAGATGATCCCCTCCTTCATTTTAGCGTTTAGACCTCTATTAATGCGACCGGTCGCAAAACCGGCTTTGGGGGCGTCTATTTTCCAGCGTGCGAGATGATCCCCTCCTTCATTTTAGCGTTTAGACCTCTATTAA